CACACACACACACACACACACACACACACACACACACACACACACACACACACACACAGAGCTGACCTGCGGTAGTCGAGTCCAATCAAATAAACCACTGCCACAAAGCCAGACCAGTAATTACGGTCGAGCGGCTGCAGCGTGTGAGTTTAAATATAGAGTGCTTCAGATCCGGATCATGAATAGAGTGGCCAGAAATCTGGTTTTAGGTGGGACAGTCCGGTTTTGAAATACCATATCCGCCTACTGGCACAGGCTTGAGCGGACGCTCATGTGTCCTTTTAAGATCGCTATTTTACACTTTGTACAATGGTGTAAAATAAATAAATAAATAAATGCTAATGTTTTGTTTAAGTTTGTACAATAGTGTACAATACATAAATAAATGCTAATGTTTTGTTCAAGTCTGAACAATAGTGCATAAATAAATAAATAAATAAATCCTAATGCTGTGTTCAAGTGTAAACAATAGTGTATAATAAATACATCATTGCTAATGTTATATAATAAATAAATAAATGAGACATTGTTTTTAATAATTCTGAAAAAAATAAAAAAATAAAATAAAGAATATAGCTGTGTTTCAGGACTGTGATTAGTTCAATGGTGTGTAACTAACAAGCAAATAAAGAAATGTTATGTACAGTTAATAATTAAGTAATTTACATTTTAGACACAATATTGTCAGTATGGACTGTTTTGCTCTATTTCGCCAATCACTATCTCTGATCATCACAGTGGTGTTTCGTTCCTGAATGATTCAGCGTATTTGAACAAATAAGGTGAGCCAGTGATTCAATAAGCCATTCATAAAGACAGTTGCTAAATTCAAAAATGCATACTAGTGTACTACTCTTACTATTTTTCAGCATATATTTTTATGGCAAAAATAGTAAGAGTATTATGCCAGCAAATCACTCGCTTCACTCCTGAATGAATCAGCCGTTTTGAACGAATCTGTTGAATGAGTGAATCAATGACTCGCTTATTAAGACAGTGACTTGTTGCCACCTACTGACAGTTTTAGTTTCATATTTAAAGTATCACTTCACAGTTCTATATTCAGTCTATTTTATATTTAAAACATAAAATCTCATAACATGCAATTGTAACGGCAGTGTAAATGCATTCATGGCATCTCTGAGCTGCATTAAATAGTCTGTATAAATACATCAGATGCAGCTTGTGTGCCACTTCTGCAGCGCAAATATGGATTTTATTGATACTGATTTCATTTGGCTGGTATCAGTCCTACTGTGTTTTATTATTCAGATTGCATTTCTTGAGTAGATTTAAGAATTTACATGAACGTATGCACATCTACTTTACTAAGGTTAGAAAATTCGCCCTTAAAAGGTAAAAATGCCCATGGAAATTAATTTAACCCTCATAATGCATTCAAAATCTAAGAATATATAATCTGAGAATTCCCAGTATTAACCCCACTGGAATGAATGGAATTTAATTAAATTCCTTTGACTTAATAACTCATGATTGCTCAAAAACAGTCCAAATTTATAATATTTATTTGTAACAAAACAACATCAAACAACATAATTAATTCTACATGCATAAACTTTTACTTTCAGATGAAAAAAGTGATTTCATGCTGCAATGGTTCATCAGTAGGCGCACATATTCATGTTCAGCAACAAATATCAGTCCCAAAAGCATGTGAGATATTGGAAAAGGCTAAATATATTTTACAAAAGATTTTCGACACTAATATAACTTCACAGATAATTGAACAAAAAATAAATGATGTGTATTTCAAGGGTCTTAAAACACTTGCAAAGTTTCGTTCCCTTACTGAAAACTACGTTTTTAGACATTTTTATGTATCTCTTCCGTGTCAAAACAGGGGAAGGTAAATTTAAAGGGGTAATTTTCACTCTTTAATAGAAAAGTTCATTTCTGTCACTGGTTTTGGATTACTTTTCAGTTTTTATCCTGGCTTCACTGAATCCTGCACAGTGGTGTTACAGAAACGGCCACACTGACGGTGATGGATCTATTTACTGAGCTTAAATTAGGAATGCCGCTGTCCTCGGACCATTTGGAAAAATGCACAGCACAAACCTGTTTGGATCGATTAGTCTGCTGCTTTTAGACGCGGCCTGCAATCGAATCTGGCATCTGAAGCCGGCTAGCACACTAACATGATTAGCCCTGAAATGCATCGAGTGAAAAAGGCCAAAGGCTTTTATAGAAACCGCCGGGTCAGACCTATGACATACAAACGGCCTGCGATTTATCTCTAATGAAATCTGTCCGTGCTCGTGGAATCTGGAGCATCGCTTGCTGTGTCTTTATATGTCTCTGACATGAGACACAAATGTGCATATAAAAGCAAATAATATTTATTTGAACAAGATAACACTTCTGTCATTTTTTTTTTTTCATTTAATTTTATTTAGGTTAAGTGTCTTGATCAAGAGCATAATAGTGATAGTAGATTTTTTTTTGTTTTTTTCCATTTTATTTAGGTTATTTATTTAGGTTAAGTGTGTTGATCAAGAGGATAACAGTAAAAGTAGTTTTAATTTAATTTTTGTTATTTTTTAATTTTAATTTTATTTAGGTTAAGTGTCTTGATCAAGAGCATAATAGTGATAGTAGATTTTATTTTATTTTTTTCCATTTTATTTAGGTTATTTATTTAGGTTAAGTGTGTTGATCAAGAGGATAACAGTAAAAGTAGTTTTAATTAATTTTTTTTTATTTTTTCATTTGAATTTTATTTAGGTTAATTGTCTTGATCAAGAGCATAATAGTGATAGTAGATTTTATTTTATATATTTTATTTTATTTTTTCATTTTATTTATTTAGGTTAAGTGTGCTGATCAAGAGCATTATAGTAGCAGTACATTTAATTTTATTATTTTTTCTTTTTTTTAAATTTAGGATAAGAATTTTGATCAAGAGGATAACAGTAAAAGTAGTTTAAAAATGTTTTTTTCATTTTAATTTGATTTAGGTTAAGTGTCTTGATCAAGAGCATAATAGTGATAGTAGATTTCATTTTATTTTTTTCCATTTTATTTAGGTTATTTATTTAGGTTAAGTGTGCTGATCAAGAGCATTATAGTAGCAGTACATTTAATTTTATTATTTTTTCTTTTTTTTAAATTTAGGATAAGAATTTTGATCAAGAGGATAACAGTAAAAGTAGTTTAAAAATGTTTTTTTCATTTTAATTTGATTTAGGTTAAGTGTCTTGATCAAGAGCATAATAGTGATAGTAGATTTTATTTTATTTTTTCATTTTATTTATTTAGGTTAAGTGTGTTGATCAAGAGCATTATAGTAGCAGTACATTTAATTTTATTATTTTTTCTTTTTTTTCAATTTAGGATAAGAATTTTGATCAAGAGGATAACAGTAAAAGTAGTTTTAAATTTTTTTTTTTTTTCATTTTAATTTGATTTAGGTTAAGTGTCTTGATCAAGAGCATAACAGTGATAGTAGATTTTATTTTATGTATTTTATTTTTTCATTTTATTTAGGTTAAGTGTCTTGATCAAGAGCATAATAGTGATAGTACATTTTATTTGATGTATTTTATTTTTTCATTTTATTTAGGTTAAGTGTCTTGATCAAGAGCATAATAGTAGCAGTACATTTAATTTAATTTTTTTTAAATTTAGGATAAGAATTTTGACCAAGAGGACAACAGTAAACGTAGTTTTAATTTTATTTTTGTAATTTTTTTATTTTAATTTTATTTAGGTTAAGTGTGTTGATCAAGAGCATAACAGTGATAGTAGATTTTATTTAATTTTTTAATTTTTTAATTTTATTTAGGTTAAGTGTGTTGATCAAGAGCATTATAGTAGCAGTACATTTAAAAAAAATTTTTTTTTAATTTAATTTAGGATAATAATTTTGATCAAGAGGATAACAGTAAAAGTAGTTTTAATTTTATTTTTGTAATTTTTTCATTTTAATTTTATTTAGGTTAAGTGTCTTGATCAAGAGCATAAAAGTGCATTTTTTTAAATCTAAAGAAAATCTAAAAAACAAAAATAAATATTACAGTTCAGTGTTTGATTTTAAGGATAAATAAATACAACTACAATTTATACAACATATAAACATTTTACAGTAATGAGATTCTGGGGGGAAATGTTCTTCATCAACTGTACACACAATAATTTGTACACTCAACACTTCAGAAATTTCCACCCGTACTCTTAAATTAGGAAACAAGAGTGGAAAAGTTTGGTCTTAAATAAAATCCCACTGGACATTTCACCCCGTAAATATGATAATTATGATTTGATGTCAGGATTGATCCATTCCTGTAGCTCAAACAGAATAATTATAATTATATACCAAAAATAATAATTAGAATAATTATACCAAAAATGCAACTGCAACTGAGCACAAAACACTCGAGATACAAGATACTTACACAAACTATAACATAATATAATATAATATAATATAATATAATATAACATAACATAACATAACATAACATAACATAACATAATTCAGTAATAGTAAGCTTTTTAGGACCATTGCATTTTTTTTTCATGACAATTAAACTCATTTAACCCCTAAAGTCTCATTACTGTATGTGTCCAGATGTTTTACTGTTGAGATAAATGATGATTATGATTAGATTCTCATTACTGTAATAAAGGACAGGACAATAAAGGACAAAAAAAAAAAAAAAACTCTCTCTCGTTTTTTATTCCTTTTCTTTCTAGCTTGTACTTATTTGAACAATGTCTAAGAACTTGGTATTACAACCACTTCCTGTGTCTGTTTGCCTCTTAAGAAGAATCGCTTTATGTATCCCCCAATTGTAAGTCGCTTTGGATAAAAGCGTCTGCTAAATGACTAAATGTAAATGTAAATGTAAGGAATTTATAGTAAATTAGTGTAATTTGTAGTAAATTGTAGTAAAAAGTTTATTATAATTTTTTTTTAAATCAGAATAAAATCAGCAAAAAAATAGTACCACAATGAATAAATAAATGAATGAATAACAAGGTATTTCTACAAACTATATGTCATTATTCTCAATGATGATTATGCGATTCACATCAAGAGTAACTTATAGTACAATTCAATATAATTTATAGTAAACTTTAGTAAAAAAAAAAATAAAAGAGCATAAAAACAATATATTAAAAAAATGCAGGAAAATAAGACTTTTTAGGATTATTATTATCATCATAAAAAGTTTAGCATAATATTATAGCAAGCCGTTTTAGAATTTGCATTAAAAAATTTGCATTAAAATAACAGCAAAACCACTAACACAGTTAATTAATGATACAATGAATACTTCAACACTGTTTTCCAATTGTCACAGATAACAAATATAAAATTAATAGCGCTGTCAAACGATTAATCGCATCCAAAATAAAAGTTTTTGTTTACATAATATATGTATGTTTACTGTGTATATTTATTATGTATATATAAATACACACACATAGAGTATACATTTTTTGAGATATTTACATGTATATACATTTATATTCTTATATTTAATAATGTACATAAATATATTTAATATATAAACATAACATATTTTTCTTAAATGATTTGAGGGTAGCGTCACTCACGCGTCGGCGCAGGCGGTCTCGCTCCTCTCGGATGCCGCTCATGGTGGCTTTGGTGCGGTTGAGGTCCTCCTCTTTACTGCACAGCATCGCAGTCAGGCTCTCGTTGTCCTCCCGGAGTCCAGCCAGCTCCTTCTCCCAGCGCACACGCTCCTCACACAGACTGGGGTAGAAGTCCCGGCCCAGAGCGCCCTCGATCTCCTCCGCCGTCTGCAAACACACACAGCTTTCAGCCTCATGTGACATTCCCACGTTTCAAATAAATGCTGCTAACTTTCTGTTCATCTGTGAATCCCGAAAAGTAAAATGCATCACAGTTTCCACAAAAATATTGTGCAGCACAACTGTTTTCAACATTGACAATAATCAGAAAAGTTTCTCGAGCAGCAAATCAGCATATGTGACCCTGGAGCACAAAAGCAGTGTTAAGTCGCTGGGGTATATTTGTAGCAATAGCCAACAATACATTGTATGGGTCAAAATTATACATTTTTCTTTTATGCCAAAAATCATTAGGATATTAAGTAAAGATCATGTTCCATGAAGATATTTTGTACATTTCCTACCATAAATATATCAAAACTTAATTTTTGATTAGTAATATGCATTGCTAAGAACTTCATTTGAACAACTTTAAAGGTGATTTTCTCAATAATTCGATTTTTTTGCACCCTCAGATTCCAGATTTTCAAATAGTTGTATCTCAAGCCAAATATTGTCCTATCCTAACACACCATACATCAATGGAAAGCTTATTTATTCAGCTTTCAGATGATGCACAAATCTCAATTTCAAAAAATTGACACTTATGACTGGTTTTGTGCTCCAGGGTCACATATTAGAATGATTTCTGAAGAATCATGTGACACTGAAGAAGACTGAAGGTTTTATGTAACTTGCAAGAGTAAGTGCATACTTTTAAGGGCAAACTCCTTGTTTAAGTGCTCTGCAGCAAAAAGGAGGAGACATTTCCACATGAAACTGCACTCAAAACCTTTGCACTTTAGTCAGCTCATTTATTTATAAAGCTTTAAAAATGCTCAACAATAATTGGAAAGTTCATAAAGTAAAATAATGCAAGGCGAATAGGGTGAAAAAGTAATTGATCTCACCATACATTCCCAGTTGAATAATCACAGTACATTAAGACAATTTTTTTGTATTACACTTTTTCTGACATGCAAATGATGCATTATGTAATTAAATTAGTGCTGTCAAACGATTAATCGCATCCAAAATAAATGTTTTTACATAATATATGTGTGTGTGCTGTGTATATTTATTATGTATATATAAATACACACACATGCATGTATATATTAAAAATATATATGTTACGTGTATATACTAAATATATTTATATATACTGTACATTATATGAATATATACATGCAAATACAAGTAAATATTTTCAAAATATATTCTGTATGTGTGTGTCTTTATATATACAGTACATAATAAACATCCTACAGCCTGTATTTAATTATGGATAGCATGAGCACGGGGAACAAGTGTGTATAAATATGAAATGTGGAGTCATTCAGCTCCACAGTCTCAGACTTTTGACTTTTTGAAGTCAAGTCTACTCTGCAGCTCATTTTGGCCAAGAACCGCCCACTTGGACAGGAAGAGACTGACTGATTGACAGCTAAAGAGACCAATCACTGTTTGCTCTGTTTTTGTGCATCATTTAGGGGTGAGTGAATCTAAAATACACGATTATTAAAAAAAAAAATTTAAATTAATATTTTTCTTAATAATAGATGCATTAAATTGATCAAACAAAGACATTTATAATGTGACAAAATATTTTTATTTCAAATAAATGCTGTTCTTTGAACTTTCTATTCATCTGTGAATCCTGAAAAATAAAATGCGTCACAGTTTCCACAAAAATATTGTGCAGCACAACTGTTTTCAACATTGATGATAATCAGAAATGTTTCTTGAGCAGCAAATCAGCATATTAGAATGATTTCTGAAGATCATGTGACACTGAAGACTGGAGTAATGATGCTGAAAATTCAGCTGCGCATCACAGAAATACATTACAGTTTAACAGATATTTACATAGAAAACAGCTATTTAAAAGCGCAATAATTTTTCACATTTTATTTTGTATTTTTGATAAAATAAATGCAGCTTTGGTGAACAGAAGTTTTTTTTCTTTAAAAAAAAAAAAACGTTTTAAAAAACAAGAAATTAGTGGGAATATTTTAAGACATTTTGTGATCTGAATTCACAGATTATTTCACACATGAATAACTTTAATGCATCACTCTTCACCAAAGAACTAGTCACAACATTAGACAAGAGTTTTCCAGATTTTCAAATCACAAGGTCTCTTCTTGTCCATGCTGACAGGGTTTTACCAAATCAAGCTGCAGAAGTGTCAAAGTGGATAGTTACGTACTCCTTAGTTACCGTTGCTATGTCCGTGCCTCTCTCACAAGCCATGCTTCGCTCACATTACACATTATTTTCTCACGCAGTGTTTTCATCGCGGAGCAAAGAGGAAACTGACAACACACCGACAGACTGGTATGAAACAAGGTCTCAGCTTTCAAATGCTGTCATTTTTTAAAGAAATTCAAACAATAAATAGTGTTTTGTGGCTCTTTAATGTGTCGTGAGAGATCACTGAATTGCCTCAGTTAAAGCAGCATGTGAACCGATCGTCTTTTCATATTTACTGATAGCATGAAATAAACATGAATGAATATTAAAGTGTATTTTATTTCAAGTTTGAGTCCACCGAAGTTAATCAACTCTCCGGCAGATGGCGGATTTTTTGGCGTTATGATTGGTCAGATCGCCTGTCAATCAAGCTCTTTGCGAACGGAGCCAGCCAGTCAGACTGCAGTTTGTGGTACTGTGCACTATATAGTGTCTGTGGGCTCCTGTACTGCATCTGTCAGGTGTTTTACCTTGATGGCCAGATCGCAGTGTTCGCTGGCGGAGGTCAGCTGCTCGATGTGTCTGTCCACCTCCGCCACGGACAGGCTACATGTGCTCTTCTTGCGGCCGCAGAGGACGCTCTCCAGCCCCGTCAAAACCCGCTGCAGCTCCGAGTTCAGGTCACTGCAGTTATCTGGAAAAACACACGCATCTCAGTCAACCTGCAGGCCATTACTGGGAATTTCTCCAGCATGAAACTGCACTCGCATTCTATTCTAGCCCAGCCATTTATTTACAAAGCACAAACAATTCTAAGAATAATAGGAGAGCTAATAAAGTCAAATTAAAGAACGCAATATGAAAACATTAAATAAACAGTTTAAAAAAATTTCGATAAGATTTAAAAAAAAAATAGCATATAAAAGTATAGTAAAGAAAAAACACACATACAAATACTGTAATGTCTCAACTTCGTTTCTCCTTCACAGCAATGAGATCAAAGTAGGGAGCAAACAGAGACTTCTGCTGAAATCTGAAATTTGACAAGTGTCTCTTCTAAAGCTTCAGACGAGATCTCAGCAATGTCTCAAATTGCCCTTAGATTTGCTAAAGTCTGCATCAGAAGTCAGAGATCTCAATTTACAGAAATCACTTCAATAATTGACATTAACCATACCTGAGAACTCCATGAAGTCTCCTGCCTAACCTGTAATAATATTATCCAAAGCTGCTCATCCAGCGTCCAGCAGGCAAATGAAATGGAAAAACCGGAGTAAATCAGAGCTCAATACGATCGCTGACATGAGCAGATTATTGATCCAGAGTTGTATTAATATTCACAACTGCAGGCAATGTGCGGTCATACATTAACCATGAAACATAAAAACACTTGTGGGAAAAACACTGGATGAGCTTCACACTGAGCCTCCAGAATTGGTTCAACACTTTAAAGGCACGATTATGAAGTTTAGTTTTGTTTGAAGTCAATGACACAGTCTGCACTTTGTTAAAAATAAAACAAATAAAATAATTTTTGATATTTTTTTTTTACTAGTGGGTGCAGGACACTATAGTTCATTTATGTAAGTGAGGATAGCAAAATAAAGTAAACTGTGACATATTATACCCAAAAAGTCTACCAGTAAAATTGATAAAAATTTGGGACCAAAATGATTCAGACACTTTGAGCTGAGCATGTTTTGCTGAAGTGTTTTTTATTTAATTGCTAATGTGAACTTTTTACACCACAGACTGAACAAAATTAAGCATTGATTGGTAATTAGTTGACCTAAATTGGTATTATCTAATTGTGTACTTAAATGTAACAGCTGACAGCTATTTAACCTAATTCATTACATACCTTTCTATCAAAGTTATCTGACATTATCAAGATGAATTTGTTCTGACACAGTTCGTGTCATATTTTATTACCATTTTCTAAACTATAGCCAATAAACTGTGATAATTTGAGAAATGTTGAAGGTGTCTGAATAAATGTTGGTTTGACTGTATATACAGTATATACATAAATATATATTATACATATATTTATATATATCTGAATATATATATATAACAGGGTTATTTTCTAACTAAAGCTAAAAGCATAAAAACATTCACTGCTTGAAATAATAAAACATTTTTTTTTACTGAAACAAAATTATTTTATTTCAGCTAGTTGCCAAAGCAACATTTCTCATTTTCATTTAGTTTAATACTGAAATAACTAAAACTAAATTAACTAAAACGTAAAACTTCACAAAAACGATATAGATGAATAAAAATAAATTAATAAAATAATAAAAATGACAAAAGAACCCAAAACAAAATTACTAAAACTTTACCTAAAATTAAACGGAAAAAATAAAATCTAATTTACAATATTCACTAAAACTGTAATAGTTTATCAATGATACTAAAAGTCTGAATATAAAATTGTAATTTAAAATGTACTCCGTTATTTCCACTTTTGTAATGCAAAGCTGTTTTAATCATGGCAACAAAAAAAAAACTGTAGAATCTGAATGTCATTTCCTTTCACAGACGGGAGTGATGCATGCTGGGAATGCTCCTACAATACACTCGTGATGAAAAACGCCATTAGACTGAAGGGACAATGACAGCATCCCGACTGCTGAGGCCTTTAAACGCTTTTGTGTGGAGCGTATCGGCTCGATCGAGTGGAAAAACAAAAGAAAGCAGAGCGAAGACGACGATTACTCAGCAAAACGAGTCTGTGTGTCTTTCAGCTGCCATTATAAACCAAGACCGAAGCACTACGGGAAACACGAACTGCACGCATGCACAAAGGTGATTTTTCTCTCTCTCAGCAAAAGCCTTTATTTGCTCTCTAATGAACTTCACTGCTGTCTGTGAGTGAAAACACAAATGAGGCCAATATTTCCCATGAGTCTGCAGTGATAAACACAGAGACGTGACCTCCAGAACCATGCAAACTCATTCAAAGTCACTGTGTGAAGATAAAGGATAACTCACAACATTTCACCCCCAAATTAATAGACAAATAATACAAATATAATGAATACTAACAGTGAAGCCTGTTTTTAGGAGCACTGTGACATTCCTTCCCTGACAAATACATGTTCTCATTACAGAAATGCAAAAAATCTCATTCTACTGAGTTTTTGTTGTTTATTCTCAACTGGATTTCTTATTAATCTAATATAATGATTTTATTGTATTACAGAAATATATATATGTAATATTTTATTGTAATCAGGATACAATAATAGCAAAAAATACTACCATGATGCAACATATTTGACACTTTTTGCATGACAGTAATGAAATTTTGAAGTTCAAATGTGCTTCATTGTCATGTCAAAAATTGTAATGTTTCCAAAAACAGGCATGATGTTCAATAATTACAATATAATTTTATTTAAAGGGGTCATATGATGTTGCTAAAAAGAACATTATTTGGTGTATTTGGTGTGATGAAATGTGTTTATGCGGTTTAAGGTTCTAAAAACACATTATTTTCCACATACTGTACATTATTGTTTCTCCTCTATGCCCCGCCTTTCTGAAACGCGTCGATTTTTACAAAGCTTTGTTTTGTAGCTTATTAAGACAATATTTTCATGACATTATTTTACATTTATATTTATTATTTTACATTTTCATTATGTAAATATATATATATTATTGCAATGACATTATTATATGTAATTTTGTATTTTACATTTGCATTATTATAACATTTGTAAGAGTTTTATTTTATATTTACATTCATTATTTTGAATTTGCATTGTCATTTTTAAATGACATTATTTTGCAATTAATTGTATTATTTACATTTACATGTATTATTTTACACTTGCATTATAACAATTAAGCACTTTTATATTGCATAATGTTCATTACTGTAATGTCAATATCTTTTTTGCATTATAGTAATGAACATTTTGCAGTTCAAATGTGATATCATAATGTCATAATAAATAAATAAAAAATGCAATATTTCCAAAAAAGGCATCACATTAAAAAATTAAAATATACTTTCATTCTTTTGATGTTGCAATGTAATACGGACATGTTCTTGACAGGCTGAGATTCCGTTCATCATAAATCATGTTTCCTATTTCCGGCAGGTTTCCTGTCTGTCAGTCTGCATTTCTGAGACTGGATTTGGAAATATAATAATCCATCAGGCTTTTGACAGCTGCTCTTACCCATGTCTGCAGTGACCAGCGTGGACTGGTTCTCAGGCAGTGAGATGGACGCCTGGTCAGGGTCCTGATCGACGCTCCGGTCGTCCTCGTTAACTTCCTGCTGGCTGTGACTGAGATCGGAGCGAAGCTCGGAAAACTCATCCTCCTCCCTGAGAAACACACACACGTTATGATGAATGAGAAGAATCAGCGCAGAAAGTGAGATGTTCTGCTGATCCTGTTTTTTTGAGAGTGTGAGCACCAATCTATGGAAGCATGATTCCTCCAAAGATAAAAAAAAGTCTTTTCCCAGACTTGAAAAGTTAAGATGCTCAATCTCTGGTTCACTCAAATCCTTTTATAAGACTTGGGATCCTTTTTTGGACTATATCAAAGGCCTAACTTGTGCACCTGTAACTGGCAACATGTAATGTTTGTTAGAATCTGTTAGAAGGGATTTTTTTGGTTATTTATATTGGTTAATTATATCTATTTTATTTTATTTGTTATTGTTTCTTTCTTTATTTAATTTACTGTTTTCCTGTCCATCTGAGTTAATATGAATGGGGGGGGGGATTGTGGAAGGGATTAATAATGGACAATGCCTAAATAATTATCATTATTTCAATCTGTATTGTCACACAAAATACCAGTACTATTACTATTTTAAGTAATAATGTTTTTTTCTAACAATTTAATTTTTTTTTCTATAATTCGGAGTTTATTCTCAGAATTCTGACTTGTTCTCGGAATTCTGAGTTTATTCTCAGGCTACGTTTACAGTAGTGTGTTTTCGTTTTAAAACGCATTACTTTTTGCTACGGTTACGCCTGTCATTTACACTACCCCGGTGTTCTCAACCCTCGAAAACGGAGACTTTTGAAAACGATGGCATGGCTGCCCACATTCGCTCTGCGTATCTGTGACGAACGTGTAAACAATAACATCATGCTCATTGTTGTACCCATAGATATGCATTGGTAGATTCCCCATTCGACCGCTCAAAGCACGTAGAAGCGTCCGCCATCTAAATAATAGAGCATCTACCTATACATATCTATGGTTGCACCTGCATGAATGGTCATGTGACATGCGTTTTCGGTTGTGTAGTGTGGATGGAGATAGTTTCTGAAACGCAGTGAAAACGCCAGTGTAGATGAGGATCGTTTTCATTTTAAAATGCCGTTTTAAAACAAAAATGCACTAGTTTAAACATAGCCTCAGAGTTCTGACTTTTTTCTCGGAATTTTGAGTTTATCTCTCGCAATTCTGAAATTGAAACTGCATGTTTTTTTTTATAACTTGCGATTCTGACATTTTGATATAAACAATTCTGAGTTTATATATTGCAGTTCTGAGTTTATATCTTCTTATTTCTCAGAATTGCAAGAAAAAAGTCCCAATTGTGAGATAAAATTCGCAAGTATAAATTCCATTCAGACATCATGCAATTCTGTTTTTGTTTTTTTTACCACGGAAAAAAAACAAAAACAAAGGTAATACCAATTAGAAGATCTTAGCAAATAAATAAATGGCATTTAGTCATGTTTCTATTTGCGATAATAAAAAGCTACCCCCTAAATACTGCATACAACAGCTATTTTATCAAATTATCAAACTACAGAGTTATGATTCAGGGACGAATATGAAAGTCAACAGAGGCCTGGAGTCATTCGGCATATTCTAATTTCCCTAAAGAGGATGCAAAGCCCCACCTGCTGCATACATATGAGGCGTTTCTAATTAAACACTGGAGTGGATCTCATTCACATGCAGCTGGACACACGGTTACCAGTTCACCGCATCTCCCTTCACAACTCACTATTCATTATCTGGGGAACGAATCAAGCTATTGTCATGCAGTTCGTTTAGTAAGATGAACGCGATATCTTCAGAATAAACAATGAAAGGAGACACTCATCTCCTGCTGGGTTTCCAGGCCAAATGACAAAATGAGACACGCTTGAGTAACATTTACCCGGACGGAGATTTAAAGGAGCATTAAAGCAGCTGATATCTGTCATTGAGCAGAGTTACAAAGCTATAAATCACAGTAAGAGGCTTTAGAGGGAAGCTTTTCTGTGCGCAGTGAATACAGAAGCTCCGCTCCAAACCCTCGTCAGCTGCCTACACAGACAACACTTCAGCCAGCATTTACATTTGTGCATTTATCCAAAGCCACTTACAAAAGAGAAGCAAAGCAATTTGAGAGCCAACAATATTTGTAATACAATCCAGTTGGAAAATTATATGTTGCATAAAGAAAATTAAGCCACTAAATTTTATGTTTGCATTATTATGGCATTATATTCATGACATTATTTTACATTTAATTTTATTATTTTACATTTTAATTATTATGATATTATGTTTATGACAGTACTACTTTACATTTATATTTGTTATTTTACATTTTCATTACTGACATTATTTGTAAGACTAATTTTATATTCACATTGTTTTACATTTGCATTATGATGACATTTTCAAGACCTTATTTTGCCATTATTTTAACAACTATTATTTTACATTTGCAATACTATGACACTATTTTCAATACATTGCTATTTTACATTTACTATTTTGCATTTACATTATTTTGTCATAATTTTTAATGATTATTGTTTTACATTTATTATTTTGCATTATGGCATTATTTCCAAGCCATTATAATTTTACATTTATATTTATTTTATTATTATATATTTGCATTATTGTCATTATTTTCACGACATCATTTTACATCTATATGTATTATTTTACATTAGCATTATGATGACATTACTTTCAAGACATTATAATTTTGCATTTATATTTCTTATTTCTTATAATGGCATTATTATGATATTATTTTCATTGCATTATTATTTTACATTTACCTTTATTATGTCATTATTTTTATGACAAATAAACAAATTTTCTTGCCTAATTCTCAGTAATGTAATCAAACACTGTCAACTGTAAACGGTTCATAAATCGGGGCAGTATTTCTTGTAATGCCTTTAGTTAGACCTAATTAAAAAATGTAGTTAATTAAAAAACAAGCTGTATTACGGTTCACTGAAAAAAAAATGACTGTGAATTTAACGGTAAAAGACTGTAAAAATGCTACAGTTAAAAACCTGTTAAATGGTTAACGGTAAATTCCCCTACTATATACGGTGAAAAACTTGGACATTACATGTAATTTTACGGTAGTATACCGTTTTTGGAAGTGAAAAAGATCATATAATTTACAGTGAATAACCGTAAATTGACATTCCCAGAATTCCCTGCGTTACATTTCAAATTTGATGTTTTTTAGTTAAAATAACTATGTTTCTTCTTAGTTTTTTCTTATCAGTTGTGTACATTAGGGTTGTATGTCACATCTAATGTTGTTCAATTAATGCTTGCATTAATTGCATTATTTCAGTTTCATGTGTGCTACCATGATGGTGTTTAGTGTTTATGTGAATGACGCTGTGCACCTTCTATATATGTTAATATTTAAAAGCTGCTTGTGATGGGCTTTGGTTCATCATGTGATTTTCTCATCACCTCCTGCTTTTGGTGCAGTGTTTACAAAGGTACAAAACAGATTTCAGTACTTCAGTGGGTTGGTATATTTATTATTATATCAGTTAGTGAAATTACGGTATTTAACTGTAAATTTTAAGTTAAAACCGTAAACCTAAAATGCTGCTACCGTATTTTTTACAGTAAAATTTTGCCAACCACAGCTGCCGTTTTTTTACGGAATTTATTTTTACAGCAAATCTATTGAGGATCAATAAAAATAATGAGATTACTATCAAACTCAGATGCATTACAGTAATTACAATTATGTGTATAAATGAGCTTAAATGTCATTAAAAACATAATAGTCTTAAAAATGGGCTTAATTATTATTATGCAATTTATAATTCTGTATTTCTTTGTATTTGAGCTGAAGTTTTCTGCCTATGGGAAGCAACCCACAAGCTTTAGGAGCAAAAGTAGAGATGATCGGCGTATCTCCGGTCAGATGCTGAAGGGTAAAACTCTCCCAGGAGTCTCTGCAGACGAGACCACCGCCGGCGCTGAAGACCAGACCGACCTCAGACAGCTGCGTTCACGCACACACACACACACACACACGCTCTCTTACTGTACGTGTGCATGCTTATGTTCCTGCACTGTAAGCTGCTTTAGATAAAGCATCTGCTAAAAGCATGAATGTAAATGTGTGGTCCAAACACAACTGTTCTCTAAGCACTTGTGTGCAGCACATCATTTACTAATGTTTGTGTTTGTGTGTATTTTTATGAATGTGTGTGTGTGTGTGTGTTGGCGATCTCTGTGAGGTCGCTCAAATGTCCGGCTGTGTCGACTAGAAAAGAAATGTGTGTTTACATTTTCCCAGCCGACTAAAATGAGCACTAATGATGAAGAACTAATGACTGGACGAACAGGACTGAATATTGTGCTTTGTTTTAATAATCAGTATTTATTACAGGCAGAAATTCTGCTCAAGTCAATTCATCTGTGCAGCGCTTTTCACAACACTCATCGTTTCAAAGCAGCTTCACTGAAAGTCATACAGTCTGTAACGCCTTAGTGTCTTACTATAGAGAGCTATACTATAGATTACCAAATATGATAAAACTTCACTTAAAGCCTTTATATATAATGCATTATAAAAGTAGTCTTAATGCATTAATTGTGTCTTGTAATGCATCTTATAATGCATTGTATGATCTCATGAATAATTGTAACCACAGTTATAATACATTATAATATGGATCTATTTCACTGTTACACCGTCAGAAAATATAATGCAGTAAAACACATAACAAACAAAAATTTCAAGTGCTATAATGCATTTTAACTTAGGTTACAGTTATTTATGAAAAAATATAATGCATTATAACATACATTATGAATACCTATATAATGCATTATACATAAAGGCTTTAAGTAAAGTGTTACCCAAAATATAAATTGTCATTGTTATATTAAGAGATTAAAATATTTGGTAAGGTATTGAAATAGTTTGTAAAACATTTTGTTAATTTAATTCATTTTTAATGATAAAATATTTATCTATTAAAAATATTGTAATTATTATTATTATTAATTATTAAAATATTAGTCATTATTGATCTATTAAGAGATTAAAATGTTGGTCGGTTGGCAGTTAAAATCATATCAGCCACCTCTAAGTAGTTTATACAGGCAGCTGCTAGAAAGTCACACATAATGCAAACTAGGGTTTGAGGTTGAGTGTGTGTGTGTGTGCATGCATGTGGTGTGTGTGTGTGTCTCTGTGAGTGTTTGAGTTTGAGTGTGTGTGCATGCATGTGGTGTGCGTGTCTCTGTGAGTGTTTGAGTTTGAGTGTGTGTGTGTGTGTGTGTGTGTGTGTGTGTGTGTGTGTGTGTGTGTGTGTGAGAGAGACGGTGTGTATGTGTGTGAGAGTGTGTTGTGTGTTGTGTGTGAGTGAGTGTGAGTTGTGTGTGTGTGCATGCATGTGGTGTGTGTGTGTGTGTGTCTCTGTGAGTGTTTGAGTTTGAGTGTGTGTGCTGCTGTGCAGCTCTGTGATTCGCTCCTCGTAGCGTAGCGTCGTTCTCTCCTGAACCTCCTCGTGCTCCTGCAGCAGATGAGACTCCTCACACTGTGCACACACACACACACACACACAGTGGGACAGGGATTAATAATGCAGAGTTACACTGAGGAAAACTGCAAGGTGAGACAAACAAACACGCATGCTGTGAACACACACACACTCACTCACACACACACACACACACACACACACACACACACACACACA